ATCTCAAAAGCAATGAATTGGTGCTTTTGTAAGAGTTTGTTATTTGAGTTTTAATGAAATTAACACATTATTCCTATTTTATCTTTATTTTTTTATTTATAAAAGCAATACTTCTACAACAATTTTATTCCAACAAGACTTCTATTAAAAACCCTAGTTACACCAAACAGACACTTATTTATTTATCAATCAAACTAGTGGTTTCTCCGTTAAACTGCCTAAACCAACAACTAAAAATCAAAATGGTTTGACACTTCTTCAATTTTTGACATTTTTCAATTGGTTCAAGGGCGATCTTTACGAGCTACAGCTACAAGGCTATATCTTTTGCCTCTCTATTGCAAAATTTGTAGAAGTATTATCATATTCATGCAAATGAACAACAAAAATCAATTTTTTGTCACACTCCTGCTTTATTGTTGGAGTGTTTGACTACTTCTACAATTTATTCAAAGAATCCAAGACAACATCTTATTTTCTATCAGTATCCATGGCTATCTCAACTATTTGGAAAAACTCTTTACACATGTCATCAACTCTTCATTTCTCAAGAATTGTTTTAGGAGTCTTTTAATTGCACTTGATATTTTGTTTATGCTTAGTATCTTTTCTCTAACCATTTAAGACATTTTTCTACTACTTTCCCCACTTTCTGTAATGCAAGAATAGATAAAGTATGTCTATATAAAATACCCTTAAATTGAAAAATTGACAATAGCATATAATATCATAATTTTCTTTTTTTAGCATCACTTGGAACACGAACTCATTTATTCAATTGAAAAAATGGATGTCTTCATGAACTTCATAGCTACCTTCACTCTGAAGTGCAATTATAAAGCAATTAACTTTCTGACAAAATTTTTTTTTTTCATGTTACACCTCCTTAAATTTTTATTAGTATATGCCACCTCAAATTGTGCTTCAATTGGTAATTGGATATGCAAGCAATTTAGGAATGGTAAGAATCAAAATCTACTCTAATCTCCTTCTCCACTTTAGAGAGCATGGCTTTATCATAACTTGTGACAAATTGTTACAAAGTTGTTAAGCTTTGAGAAATCTATAAAAAAAAAAAAAAAAACATTTATATTCTCACTACATCCTGTAGTTAACATTCTTGCCCAAAAAGTGTTGCTCAAACACATGAAACCCAATGCTCTCTTATGTTGTACATACTTTCCAACCATTTATTTTGATACAAATTAAACTGCTCAATAATTTATTTCCAACCATTTTTAAACTTAACAACTTTCATTGAATCATATATTATATTTAGTAAAGTATATTTTATATCTTCATACTTAGCATACCCTTTAAATTTTCAGGAATCTTTTTCATTACATGCCATAAGCAAAATCAATGTTTTGCACTAAGAAAAACCATTTGAACAACATCGTCTATTGCCTGGCATTGATATGTGATTATGACTTTAGGTGGAACACTTGACATGCATTACAACCAAGTCTTGAACAACCAAATAAAAGAATTAGTATCTTCGTATGACAATAATCCACAACCCAAGAATATTGATTGACCATGTTGATTCACTCTGAAAAATAAACCAAAGGGCTTGTTATATTTATTGGTAAGATACGTAGTGTTAAAGGTAACAGCATCTTCAAAAACTTTATAAGCCTCTTTAGTCCTTGCACCAGCTTAAAATACATTCCTTACACAACGCCTATTATCCAATTCAAGCACATAATAGAAGTTCTCATTCATATCTTGCATTATAGCAAAATACTGTCCAAGTGCTTCCTCATCTCTATCTTTGATTTTCCAATTCTCTCTTTTTGGAGGTAATTTTTGATAGTCCTCATTATAAGTCATGTTTTCATGTCCCCTAACTTCTAAAACAATTGACTAAAAGTTCTTATTAACACATATCCCAATCTCATCATTCAAATCAAGTCTCCTTTTTGAATATGTATCCATCTCCTTGTTTACTTTAAATTGTTGGGCTTTAGCAAGACTAAGTGCATGGTTATGCTCAAGATGAATGGTAGATACCTAGTATTCTCCATCATTTTGTAATTGAAAATTAACTTAAGTAAGGCAGCTACTTTTAGTAGTCTTTGTCGATTGAATTACTTGTTTAAAGTAAAATGTGCTTTTCCTTCATGTTCACATGCTAACACAAAGTATAAAGTTCTTCCATCATCCTCTTTGCTTGAGCTCTTTCTGACAGTATCAAAACCCTCCTGTCGAGCAAATTTTTTATAAAAAAACTCTAGCCTCCTCTTTTGAGTTAAATATCTCTTTACTTTAGTTCATAATAGATTTTTCCTCATTAACCTATGGTTTATCATCTAAACTTGAAAGACAAATATTGTGAAGACTATGTATCTCAATATTTGACTCTATTCCCCAGATAGCCATAGTTCATATGTATGTGTTAGACTACTTGAAAAAATACATTAAAAAATAAATTGTTAAAACTTGATAGAGAAAAAGAAAAAAAGAAAACTTGCTTAGTTAGCCTCTCATACAATAAAAAGTAACTAAAATTAAAATTATAGCTTAAAAGATTAACAACCATAAGAAACAAAGAAATTAAAAAAGGAATCTGAATGTATATATGTATTCATTAGTTGCAAAGAGTACACCTTTCTTTGTGTGAAGACTCAATGACAATGGTAACGAAACCCAACAATGAAGATCTATTTAATGCTCAAGTTCAAGTTGAAGGTCTAGAATTAACAAGCAAATGAAGATGAGGCCATGAAGAGTTGAAGATGTTGAGTCAATTAAGGTGAGGCGGTAGAAGGACTCTCGGTTGCCATGTTAAAGTTTGATGAAAGATTTCGTATGAATTCCTTATTTATTTAGTAAATAACAAACAAACAAGTGACATGGAATCCTAGTTGGCATTCAGTTATAATGCCAACTAGCATTGTAACCATAGCATTTTGAAAAAAAAAAATATATAATAGTGAAGATATGAGAGGAAGGATATCTGGATATGTTTAGTGAGTGGAAGGAGAATAGATATCCAAGTGGGCTAGAGTCATTTTGGGGGAAGGATGAGAACATGCTTCAAGGGCTAGGAATATGATCAGTTTTAATTAAGTGATTCAAAGTAAACCTTCTACTCAACATAAATTGCTTTTATAAAAGGCAAAACCCAAATTCACCCTAAATAAAGAGGTACGGATAGATTTATCTCTCAAAAAAAGTAGAGACAAATTGCTCATTTAAATGGTCAATTAAGATAAATCACTCATTATTTATGATGTCACCACATGTCATCTTTTCATAAGAAATAAGTTTATGTGACAAATGAATTCCTCATATGTAATAATGTTATATGTTAAATAATAAATAATTTATCTTAATTAAAAATTTTAAAAAATAATTTATGCTTATTTTTTGTAAAATAAATTTGTTTCTACCCTAGGAGCTATTTAGGGGTTCAAACTTCATAAAAAATGAACATGAACTTTTACAAAAGATGTTATAGTTACATTGATCAATTTAACCGGTTTAAGTTGGACTTGATGCACAAAACAGGTCAGGCACCAGGTTGGTTCTTAAAATGTTGTCACAATCTTCTAAGTGGGACCCAAATCAAACAATCCAATTGCCCTAATATCCTGATCTCCTTTAACATACTGTTTGGATTGGAGGTATCAAACAAAAAGGGAGGGGAAGATATGGGGATGGTTGATAAGGGAGGAGAAGTGAAGGGAGGTTGCCTCCTTCCTCCTATTTGGGTTTTCAAAGAGGTAGAAGCGGAGGGAAATTGATTGATTTGGAATCCTTTCAACCACCCTCAAATATGTCGATTTGCAACCCCCCCTTGATTGGGGGGGGGTTTGGGAGGGATTTTCAGAGGATATTTAGATTGGGTAAAAGATAATTACAAAATTAACCCTCTTATCTATTACCATAAATTATCCTCCTTCTTGCAGCAATAACACTAGAACCAAAGAAATCAACAGAAGCCATTGATGAGTTTAATTTTTATATGCATTTATCTACCCTTTTTGAGCCTAGAATTAAATTTTATGGGTCTTTTGTAACTTAGTTTCACCTTTGTTTATATTAAATTCATTATTTGTGGGTGAAAATTAAGATAGGAATTAATTTTGCAATAAGTGACAATTTGCACATGCTGCAGTAATTTAACCATATCTTTTCCTCTAGGCATTGGATTGAGTTGATTCTTCAGGCGTTGGAAAGCTAAGAAGTAGAGCTACAATTGATGTTTTATGAGCTCAACCCAGTTCCTTCCGTATCAATACAGAATTTAAGTTGAAAGTGACGGTTTTGACAATGGACAGAGTGCAGAAATAAAGAGAATTGGGCTATGTTTTCTAGGTATGGGCCAACTGCAGTCCAGACCCAAAACAAAGCCCAATTCCCATATCTACTAGGGTTAAGAGAAATAAGGGCTTCTAATTTCTGAGGATATATATGCGAGGAGCCCCACAGACACAAAGAGGGGAGTTGTTCTGCACAAGAGGTCAAGAGCACCCAGCCACCCAAAATCCCAACCACCTGCATATGTTGTTCACCAGCAGAAGAAGAGGACACCAACACGCAATACCCAATCAGTGTGCATCTGAACAAGGAGGAGAAGCCCCGAAAATCTGTTCACCAGCAGAAGGGAGAACGCCTACCCAGATATGTTTGTGAAAGAGCCAACGCCGCCAACAACCTCTGTTCTTCACAACCAGCTTTGTTAGGGAGGGACAGTAGCACAAGTTTGGCTTGTTCTTCATTGGATGGGTGTTGTTGATTCTTAATTTGAATTTTTTTTATCATGATTGTTTGCTGGAATTACCGAATTATGGCTGCTATTGACAACATAATCATGCATCACTAAATTTCTTTGAACTAGGGATGGATGAATTTTAATTTTTTGAATATGTGACTATTTTTGTTAGTTTAATTCAAGATTTATTGGTTATTTGCATGATGAGTTTATATTATTGAGTTTAATGCATTGAAAGCCTGATCACCTTTCAATTGATTTAGTAACTTATGCATGAACTTGAGAAAGAATTGCGTAGATTAGACCAATAATAATATAAACCGTGTGCTAGACTATGAGACCGAGAGGTAATTAGCTCACATGTGGTAGTGGAGGAAGAGAAGAGAGTTAGTAGCTCCCCCTTCTTAAGCTAGAGGTTTCCATAGAATTTAATGCTCATTAGTTTGTTTAAAATTACATAGAGATATGATTAATTTAGCAAACAAATGAAGGATTAGCTTGACTTGAGAAAGCTGGTTAATTAATTTAGAGAAATCCGCCATCTCATGCAATAACACTATTATTTGAACTTAAATTAAATTAATGAAACAGTTGAATAATTCAAAATTAAATGAAATCCAAACCCTAGTTCCCTCTCATTCATACTTCCTTTAACTTAGAAAATTCTTTAGTTTAATTTTCTTTAGTTGACTTAGTTTTCTTTTAAATGGTTTAGTTTTCCCCATTAATTGGTTAATTCAACTTAGGTTAGATTAATAGGGTCTTGGTAGTGTAGGATAGTCCTCGAGGGAACGATATCTTACTCATCTTATACTGGATAATCGATTAGGTTCACTTGCCTAAAAGTAGTGCGTATTTGGTGCATCAAGTTTTTGGCGCTGTTGCCGGGGACTAGTCATCTACATATTAAGATTAATAATTTGGCCTTAGATTGAATTTTTTTTCTTTTTTCTTTTTCTTTCTTGATTAGTTGTTTTTTTTTTTTTATTCTTTATTTATCTTAGTTTTATTTTTTACTTTTTAATTTTTTTTAGGATATTAGTGCATGACCCATAGTAGTGGTGGTGATCGTGTTCCATTTGATCCATAAACTGAGAGAACTTTTAGAGAGTTTTTAAGAGAGCAAAAGCAGAACATCATGGGAGAAGAAGGTGAAGGACAAAATAATGCACACACTCTTGGTTCATATGCTACCCCATTTCTTGAAGGAATAGCATCCAGCATTAGAAGGCTAGCGATTCAAGCCAATAACTTTGAAATCAAACTAGCTATCATTCAAATGATCCAACAAACTGTCCAATTCAGTGGTTTGCCTAATGAAAATCCTTATTCGCATATTGCTAGTTTTCTTGAAATTTGCAATACTTTTAAGGCTAATGGTGTTAGTAATGATTCTGTTAGGCTTACATTATTTCCATTTTCTTTGTGTGATAAAGCCAAGAGTTGGCTTCAATCTTTTCCTGCAGGTCATTTTACCATATGGGATGTTTTGGTAGATAAATTCATAGCTAAATTTTTTCCTCCTTTGAAAACAACTAAGTTGAGAAATGACATTATTACTTTTGTTCAATTTGATAATGAGTCATTATATGAGGCATGAGAAAGATTTAAGGAATTGGTTAGGAATGTCCAAATCATGGTTTACCTGTTTGGCTCCAAGTGCAGACTTTTTATAATGGTATGACTCCTCATAATCGTTCTACAATTGATGCGGCTGCAAGGGGTAATCTTATAAATAAGACAGAGGAGGATGGTTATAAGCTGTTAGATGAAATGGCCTCTAATAGCTATCAATGGACTAATGATAGAGCTATCAAAAAGGGAGTTGGTTTACATAATGTTGATGCTTTTACTTCTTTATTTGCACAAATTTATGTTTTGAATAAAAAGTTAGATAATTTAGGAGCGTCAGCAATGAGTATTTCATCTAATAGTTGCTGTGAATTGTGTGGGCAATTTGGTCATGCTAGTGTTGAATGTCAAGTAGGCAATTCAGTTCAATCTTCTAATGAGCAAGCTAATTTTGTTTCTTCTGGTGGTAGGTCTAAATTTAATCCATACTCCAATACCTACAATCCAGGATGGAGGAGCCATCCTAATTTTTCATGGAGTAATAATCAAGTGAGAGTACCACTTGGTTTTCAGCAACAAAATCAGCAAGAAAAGAAGCCAAATTTGGAGGAATTGGTGCACAAATTTGTTAGTAGTACAGAAGCACGGTTTCAAAATCAGGAAATAAGGTTTCAAAATCAAGATACTGCTATTCGGAATATAGAACGCAACTTGGATAGATTGCTGATATGGTTTCTGGAAGAGTTCAAGGGGGTTTGCCAAGCAATAGTGAAAAGAATCCAAGGGAGCAATTGAAGGCTATCACTTTGAGGAGTGGAAAAGAACTTAAAGAGGTAGGACAATCTGATGGGAAAGAAGAAGGTGTGGAAGCTGGTGAATCAAAGCAAGAGAAGGAGCTTAAAAGACTTTTTCATGATCCGAATGTCAAGCCTTATAAGCCGAAAATCCCTTTTCCTCAAAGATTTTTGCAAGCTAATTTAGACAAGTAGTTTTCTAAATTTTTAGAGGTGTTTAAAAAATTACATATTAATATTCCTCTTATTGATGCTATTTCGCAGATGCCAAGCTATGCAAAATTTTTGAAGGAGATCCTTGCCAATAAAAGGAAGTTAGAGGAGTTCGAGATGGTGAAGTTAAATGAAGAATGCTCTGCTATTCTTCAGAATAAGTTACCTCCTAAGTTGAAGGATCCAATGAGTTTTTCTATTCCTTGTATTATTGGCCATGTTAATTTTGATAAGGCTTTGTGTGATTTGGGTACTAGTATTAATTTGATGCCTTTTCATGTATTTAGGAAACTTGGATTAGGAGAACCTTCACCTACCACAGTCCCTCTTCAATTAGCAGATAGGAGTATTAAATATCCAAGAGGAGTGGTAGAGGATGTTTTGGTAAAGGTTGATAAATTTATTTTCCCTGTTGATTTTATTGTTCTTGACATGGAAGAGGATTTTGAAATGCCTTTAATTCTTGGGAGACCATTCCTTGCTACTGGTAGAGCTCTTATTGATGTTCAACAAGGGAAACTTAGCCTTAGAATACATGATGAGGAGATTGTTTTTAATGTGTTTGATGCTATGAAAAATTGTGATTATGATGGCAATGCTGTTTTAAGGATTGATGTGGTAGACAATGTAGTGGCTGAAAATATTAATGCTTCTAGATTAGATGATCCTATTGATAATTGCATTGTTAATTCTTTGGATGTGAAAGCTGATAGTGCAGACAATTAACATTTTGGAGGTAGTAGCTATTCTTGAAGAAAAATGCCATAGGCAGCCACAAAAAGGAGGGAATTTTCTGCCCTTAGATGCATCGTCCATTGTGACAATCAAGCCATCTAAAGAAGAGGCCCCTACTCTTGAATTAAAACCTCTTCCTTCTCAATTAAAGTATGTTTATTTGGGTGATTCAAATACCTTACCTGTTATAATTTCTGCTTCCTTGACAGGAATAGAGGAGGAGAAACTCTTAAGAGTGTTGTGAGAACACAAAAGAGCCATAGGATGGAGCATAGCGGATATCAAAGGAGTTAGCCCTTCGGTTTGCATGCATAAAATTCAGCTGGAGGAAGGGCACAAGTCAATTGTTCAGCCTCAAAGATGCCTTAATCCTAACATGCAAAAGGTGGTAAAAAAGGAGGTAATCAAATGGTTGGATGCATGTATTATTTTTCCTATCTCTGATAGTACTTGGGTGAGTCATGTACAAGTAGTGCTTAAAAAGGGTGGGACAACTGTGGTAAAAAATGAAAATGATGAATTAATTCCCACTAGAATAATAACAGGGTGGAGAGTGTGCATAGATTATAGGAAACTTAATAAAGCTACTAGAAAAGACCATTATCCACTGCCATTTATTGATCAAATGATTGAGAAACTTGCTGGACATGAATATTATTGTTTTTTGGATGGTTATTCTGGTTATCATCAAATTCCTATTGCCCCTGAGGATCAAGAAAAAACAACATTTACTTGCCCATATGTTACTTTTGCTTTTAGACAAATGCCTTTTGGTTGTGCAACGCTCCAGGTACGTTCCAAAGATGTGTGATGGCTTTATTTGCTGAATTTGTTGATGAGTTCATGGAAATTTTTATGGATGATTTTTCAGTTTTGGCTCTTCATTTGATGGATGCTTACATAATCTGTCTAGGGTGCTTAAAAGATGTGAGGAAACTAATCTAGTATTGAATTGGGAAAAATGCCATTTTATGGTTAGGGAAGGTATAGTACTAGGTCATAAAGTATCCTCTAAAGGTATTGAAGTTGATAGAGCTAAAGTTCAGATAATTGAAAAGCTTTCTCTTCCTAAATCAATTAAAAAAATTAGAGGTTTTCTTGGACATGCTGGTTTTTATAGGAGATTTATTAAGGGCTTCTCAAAAATTGCTAAGCCTTACTAATCTCTTGGTTAAGGAAACACCATTTTTCTTTGATGATGATTGTATGAATGCTTTTCAATTGTTGAAAGAGAACCTAGTTAATGCTCCTATTGTTGTTGCACCTTGTTGGGATTTGCCTTTTGAGATAATGTGTGATGCTAGCAATGATGCTTTAGGTGCAGTTTTGGGACAAACAAAAGATAGGAAATTTCACACCATTTATTATGCAAGTAGAACAATGAATGATGCTCAAAAAAATTACACTACTATTGAAAAAGAGTTGCTTGCTGTGATGTTTGCTTTTGAAAAGTTTAGACCTTATCTAATTTTGTCCAAGGTGATTGTTCATATTGATCATTCTGCACTTAAATATCTACTTGCTAAAAAAGATGCCAAACCTAGGTTGTTGAGATGGATTTTGTTGCTGCAAGAGTTTGACTTAGAAATTAAGGATAGAAAAGGTATAGAAAATTCTGTTGCTAATCATTTGTCCAGGTTAGATGAGGTGCTTATGGAATGTGGGGATGATCAACTTTTGCTTGATGAGTTTCTAGATGAGCAATTGTGTTTAGTTTCTTTGTGTGCTTTGTCTTCTTTACCTTGGTACGCAGATTTTGTTAATTATCTTGTGAGTAATGTCTTACCTCCTAACTTATCTTTTCAACATAAAAAGTTCTTTTCTGATATTAAACATTATTTGTGGGAGGAACCATTTCTTTACAAGATATGTGGCAATGGAATGATTCGGAGATGTGTACCACAAGAAGAGGTAGATGCAATTTTGAGTTTTTGTCATGACAAAGAAGTTGGTGGTCATTTTGGTGCCTCCAAAACAGCATCTAAGGTTTTGCAATGTGGATTTTATTGGCCTTCTTTATTTAAAGATGCTTACACTTATGTGAGTGCATGTGACCAATGCCAAAGAACTGGTAATATTTCTAGGAGACATAAAATGCCTTTGACTAATATTTTGGTGTGTGACATATTTTATATTTGGGGCATAGATTTCATGGATCCTTTTCTTTCATCTTTTGGCAAAGCATATATTCTTGTTGCGGTAGATTATGTGAGTAAATGGGTAAAGGTTGTTGCATGTCCTACTAATGATGCTAAGGTGGTGGTTAAATTTTTTAAGAGTAATATTTTCATTAGATTTGGCACACCTAGGGCTGTTATTAGTGATGGAAGTAAACACTTCTGTAATAGGCAGTTTGAAAATTTATTGGCTAAATATGGTGTTACCCATAAGATTGCTACTCCGTATCATCCTCAAACAAATGGACAAGTTGAGGTGTCTAATAGGGAATTGAAAAGAATTTTGGAAAAAATAGTTAACTTGTTTAGAAAAGATTGGTCACTCAAATTAGATGATGCACTTTGGGCTTATAAGACAGCTTACAAAACCCCGATAGGTATGTCTCCTTATAGGTTAGTTTTTGGTAAGGCTTGTCACCTTCCTGTGGAACTTGAGCATAAGGCATATTGGGCTATGAAATACTTGAATTTTGATTTGAAAGATGCAGGTGAACATAGAAAATTGCAGTTGAATGAATTGGAAGAACTACGACTTGCTGCCTATGAAAATGCCAAGATCTACAAGGAACGAACCAAGGCATGGCATGATCTACATGTGCAAAAGAAAGAGTTTCACGTGGGTGACAAGGTTCTTCTTTTCAATTCTTAATTGCGACTTTTTCCAGGTAAGTTGAAATCCCGATGGAGTTGTCCTTTTGTGGTGACTAAGGTTCTCCCTTATGGAGTTGTTGAAATTTCACATGATACTAAGGGAACTTTTAAGGTGAATGGGCAAAGGTTGAAAATTTATATTGAAGGTGGTAATTTTCCAGCATTTATTTCCACCATTTTATTGAAAGATCCTTGACCATTTTGCAGTGATAGTCAAGCTAATAACTGTAAAGAAGCGCTTAATGGGAGGCAACCCATCAAAAAAAAAAAACTGTTATTTGACATTTTTCTGTTTTGCATTGAGTTATTTCATTCTTTTATTCATTTTCATTTGACTAATTTGCGTTGAGTTTTTGGCTGGGTTAGCTTTTTATTGCACTTGTAGCATCTTAGGTACCTACGATAAGATTTTTTTGGCTCTACAAGAACACATTGCGTGCCTACAGTAGGAAGAGCAAGATAGGGGAGTATTGTTTTTCTTCTCCTATTCATTTATTTTTTACATTGAGGACAATGTTAATTTTAAGTTTGGGAGAGCATATTTTTGTGTTCTTGCTTCTGTTGTGGTTTGAAGATTTAGAGTATTGGATACATGCATGTGAATCTAATTTTTTAGCATGGAATGAATATAGTCAAATGAGCCTATACATATTTTGTTGCATAGATGTTGCAAGTGAAGGATACTGTTCTTCTTTGATTATTAGCTCAAAATTTAGTA